TATATATATATATATATACATGGCTTTTATACATTCAAGCTTATAATACTAAATGCCCACACGTAATTCTATATTCGCACATATTGTAATTGGTTATCTCAGAAACGTGAAACTATAATTCATTGGTTCATCTCTTAATCTTTTTAAAAAAATAATAGTAAGCAAATGTACGTACAGAAAAAACAAATTAACGTCCTTACAGCTAGAAATTACTCACATGTTGTTGGTGATCAGAAGAGTGATTAGTACTGCTACTTCTCTGTCTTCTATGGTGCCCTTGTTCTGAAGCCGAGCTAGAACTATCACTCCCTCGACCCGAAGAAGTAGTACTCGTCTTCTTCTTATAATCATCAGATCTTACATAACGCCCTTGATTAGGACGATTCAAGAGCGAATTATCGGAACTGGTCTTTTGATCGCTACCAGATTCCGACGCGGGGCTCTTGTGATTATTGCCGAGAGTAGTATTAGTACTGCTATAATTAGTGTTGGTATCAGCAATACCGTTTCTGTGATGTGCGCGGTGCTCGGCGTGGCGCGATTTTTCGGCACTAGCACTCTTCATGAGGCGGCGAGGAGGCTGCACTGCCGCCGTCGGAAGGACGGATGAATCGGGATTATGATGAGAGGAAATGTTGCCTTCTTGAGAACGCGATGATCCCCTTCTCTGCATCATCATCATCATCATGAAGGCCTCTGGATTCTCCTCAGGGTCGTTTGGGTTGATCTTAACGTTGCCGACGGGTTTGTCCTTGCGCGCGTTTTCAAAGTAGGCTGTGTATGGTATGTCCTCGTTTTCCCAGTTGCCGAACTTTGGGACATGGGAGTTCTGCAGCAAAGCAATTGAAACAGGCCGAGTTTCAATTAGGGTTTTATTCTTTTTGAAGAAAAAAGAAATTTGGTATAATATGAGTATGATAATACGAATTGAATCCCAAAAACTAAACAATATGAGCAATAAATTGAAAAAACAAAAAACTGTTAAAGCGATAACGCTAGCCAATTAACAACATATAACCAAGAAGCATCGAATTATATATATTCCTCGTGATCATATATAGAGAACACTACTAATTAATTGATACTTACAGCCATAAGTGATGAATAATTGCGTTATCGATTCTTAATTAAAGAAGAATTATCACTCCTTGTAGAGAATAATTAGTATAACAAAATTAGAATTAGGTTCGACCTAGAAAAGAAACTGATGATATTCCATATTATACTTGCAGCGCCTGCAGAGTGCCTCAGACAAAATTATATATATTACTAGCAGTCGATTATTACAAAGTTCCCTAGCTATGGCTCTGATATTACAATCAATAGGCCCGGCTACAATTATATTTAAGTATTATGTATATATGATTTATATTTGTTGTTACTACATATATATACAAACAGATACCTGCATCATATACGTACGTATATGCCCGCAATTGCTATGA